AAGAGAAGCGATTCGCCCAAAGGTTTCCGCATTTAGACCGCAAAGAACTACACGAAGAGATCATACGACAAGAGTTGCAGAAAATACCTGTAATTACAGCTGAAAACTGTGCGATAAAAGTGAATACCAAGTGTCCGTTTGATAAGAGAGTGGAAAGTGTTATAGACTTCTCGTACCCGAAGACACCAAAAGAGGTGATGAGATATGAAGTGTTCAAAGACTTGTGGAGTAAAAACTATTACATAACGGATGGCATAAAGTTTGGCTGCGATTTCTTGGTGTATGAATGCGATCCGATTGGCGTTCACTCAAAGTTTATGGCTATTTGTAATGAGAGTAATGGAGATATGAATGAATTAGAAATTCAAATGTATGGCAGACTCGCCAAAAGTGTGCGCAAAAATATTTTAATCGCTTTTTATGATTATTTACAAACTAATGATCGCCAAATTGTTTATAAAACTTTGGATTGGAAAACATTATCTTAAAAAAAACAAACTCAATATAACCGGTAATTACAGTAAAACTAATTAAAAGTTGTATCAAAAACTGTTTTCCACAATAAAAATGTAAAATTATGTTTAAAAAGTGCTTTCAAAATATAAAACAATTTGTTTGATTGGCTCTCATATACGATAAGATATAATACTATAGTGTTATGTAAGCAATACTTTGAAATAAAACAATAAATCAGTTATAAATCAGTGAAAACAATAAATAAGACAACGATAGCATCGCTTAGTGGTTATCTCAGAGCTCTTAAGCCCATATCTTTGTGTCTGGTATTAGACGTTGATATAGTGGTAGTGGTGGTAAACGATGACTGAGCGCCAGTTCCCCTTTTAGTCGGTTTGATAGTTCGGTAGACGTTCCGGATATCAGATAAGGCTGTGCGGGAACGGGTGGCCACAGGTGTGCGTCCTTTTATTGGCCAATTCTCCTATCATTACATATAATGACAATAATTATCACAACATTTGTGTTATAAATATAATTAAATCACTCGACGTTTTGCTAATAGCTATGCGATAGTCACTGAAACACAGTCTAATCAAATGCAAAGCAAATTGTGTTTTCACTCAAAAACTATTGATTGAAAGTATTGTAGTGTTTGCGAGTGAAATAGAGGGGAAATGTATGTGTGTTTTGCATACCTGTCCCACACTTTTGCGTAGTTTGCGGACTCTCTTGAGGTGTCGCACACGCCGTCGGTTGGCCTCCGATTTGGCGTAAGTCTCGCAGAGAAGGCTTTTCCACGTCTTGCAGACACAGGGGATGCGACACAAGTCACGGGC